GTATATCAAATGCTGGATATTGTTGTTGATATTGATAATTTTTCTTCACCTTTTTGTGCAGCACGTGTCCAATTCGATTTTTGGTTGTCATCAAGATGAGCTGGAGGATTGTTAATATCACATAAATGATATGGAATAAATTTATCTGACATTGTAATGATGAAATAAAAGAAAATTAAACAAATTGATATAAAATAAGTGAGGAGAAAAAAAAACATGAATAACATAAACAAATAAATCATGTAATTTATCAGTCGTTCAGAGGAATAAACCTATCAAAATTGCACATAAATAGATATCGTTAATATATGAAGATAAATATTAATAAAACACATAAAGTTAAAAGAGAAATAACATCGTTTGCTAAAAACAGAAACACTTCTAAAAGAGAAGGTTTCTTGTGTATAATTTGTTTGTATTTGTAATAATCAATATTTGTTAATACTAACCATATGCAAATGACAATTATATTGATAATTAATGCGCATCAATTAAAATATTAACATTTCCACATGCATAACGAAACAATGTTAGTCCAACTAAGTCGTTGCGCATACAACAAAGATGATTAAACATCGAATCATCATAAACATAACATAACATTAACATTTAATGATCATTAGCAAATAACTAAACAATAATATATCATGTTGATTTTAAAGTAAGAATAGGTCGAATATCATTAACATGTACTCTGGATTCGACCTGTGTTTTTTCATCTTTGACCCAATCAATTGGATGTTGTTTCCTAATAATTATTTATGGCGTAATCGAATATTTTGGTTCTGATTTTTTCTTTATTCCATGAATTTTAATCAGTACTAGATCATTGATTTCATAATGTGGATCTGGACGTTGTTTATCATAATTAATCTTGTATTGTCGTTGTCGATGAATAATATTATCACGTGCGTGTTGTTGTATTATCAACAGACTTTTTTTCGATTGTACATAATAATCATTTGGTTTATTGAAAGTAAATGATGATGAAGGTTCATTAGTAGGTAAACGTGGTTTTCGACCGAACTGTAGTTGAAATGGTGAATAATTAGTCGTTGCATGGATGCCAATGTTGTCAGCAAATATCACTGGTGATAAGAATTCATCACAATTGTTATTTTCTAGATCTTGAAGTTTAACAATTTGAGGAACGAATGTCGCATTAAAACGTTCAATCATCTCATTACTTTGTGGGTGATAAATACTTGAAAAAATGTGATTGTAACCAATTAATTTTGCTATGGATTCCA